TATTGGATATCCAATAAGCCCCTGAATTATTGGATCCCATGGACGAGATCCAATAAAAGCCCATAAGAGATTATTGGATAGAGATCCACTTATCTAAAAGGCCTGGGTAGTTGGATGAAGATCCAATACCCAATAGGGGAGGTTCTATTAGGGTTAAGTTGATAGGGGATCTCTATAAATAAGAGAGATTCAGTGGTTCATAGGCTAGAGCTTTTGCTTGCCTCTCCTATTCTCCTCTCCCTCTCCACCTCAAAGAATGCCTGGAGTTTTGAGGAGCAACATGACAGCCCTGCTATATAGATCACCACTAGAGAGGAGGGCACTTGACCTCCTTCACCCTCTCCTAGAGATCTGCAAGGATTCAAGGATATACGATCTCCCTAGGTAACATAATCTTTACTATACGCAGTTTTGAGTTTCACAGTTTTTGTGCACTAATATTCGTACGATGACGAACATCCCTATGGGAATAGGAGATTTTATTTTCTATTCTTCCACTGCGCATGTGATGTCGCCCCCAAGATTTCCTAACAGTAAACATGATCGATCAAGGCCATGGTGTAATGTTGGCTTTACATAAGAATTGTTGTCAACACTAGTTCTCGGATGGACAATGACAGGAAGAAGCACTGAACTTACCCAAATAAGGGACTTGGTCACCCGATCCATCAGCACCATGAAGGGCAAACAATACAGCTGCTTTGCTAGCATCGGATGGAGCACCCATCATGAGAACTCTTGGGCCGCCGATCTATCAGACCAAATCCTACTCTCAACCTTGAGAGTCAGCCTTCTCATGCTATAAGGGGCCCCCGACTCCTCCTCTACGAGGTCGGCCATTCTGAGGGCTTGGAAAGGCTCCCCCTTGGAGCAAGCCCGGATGCAACACAAGTCCCGCATCGACTTCGGGCACACCGTTGACTTTCCTAAGGGACCTTCATGGGGGGATCCGACATGCCCCCTCTCCTGCATGCACGTCGAACCCTCGCCTTGGGAGACACCACCTGACTCACACATTCCCCGGGCCGCTACTTCACAGGGCGCCATGCCCTCGGATACCTTCCGGGTGCCGACCTTGGCCTTCTTCTTCGGCCGACTCGCCTCTGGCTCCCTGGGTGATTTCGACTCGCACGCCGATGTGCTATTCTTCATAGGGACCCTGAGGCCGGACCCTTCGCATTCCCGAGTCAGTTGTGCCATAGTTAAAGTGTGGGGCATCCCCTTCAAAGACTTGAGGTTCACCATTTCTGTGAACGAAGGTTCGGTTAGTAAGACATGCCAAAAATGAAGGAAGCACTTCGGGCATAAATTTGACCATACCCCTAGGGGCTAGGCTTAGTCCCGCTTTGACCAGCCACTCCTTGGTCATTCCCTTGATTGCTTGAGAGAAAGACATGATCTCTCTTAATCGCTTCACGTGCTTGGTCTCTTTGTGAGAAAGAAACAGGGGAACATTGTTGATGGCTCGAGAAGTCCATCCAATGCAAAACCCCCACCCCCGACTACAGCTCAAAAGAAGGTGATGAGTTTTCCAACCCCTTGTTGTTGGAGGGTGCCCCGCTAATCTTAAAGCCACATCGGGGGGTTAAGTAATACCCGCCTCGCCTCTTGCACAAGCAAAAACAAGCTAAGAAAAGTGTTCGAGTCGGCTCGATCCCCGCCCCCCAACACTCCTTGAGGAAAGCCACTAGGTAATGCCAAGAGTTCAACACCATCTGGGATGGTGAGATCCCCCACTAGCGAAGGCATTTTTCGATAATCGGGTGTAAGGGGAACCGCAACCCCACCTCAAGAGCATATGTGGTTAGCCCGAACCCGTTGGGAAACGGGTCGTAAGGAAGTTGACTGGGATGCGAAGCATGAAGCCCATAATTCTTTGGGATACTGTAATGATCCCAAATCGGACCTAAGAGTTCCTCAGTCACCCCAAATCAATGTCATGCCATGACCTCATCACTTGAAGGGCCACGAAGGCCTTCGAATCCACCGAGGGCAAGCCGCTAGACGAGGAATTGACCACTTCTATCCTAGAACTATCGAAACCTGAGTCGCTGATCTTGGGAACCAACTGACCTAAAAAGGAGGAAGATAAGGAAGATGAAGACATCTTGACCTCAAGGTAAGGAGCAACAATCTCAGGCGTGAGCAGAAAAATGACAACTGAACAATGCCACCGTAGTACACGGGAAAGGGTTTATAAAGAGGAAACCTGCCGCCATAAGTTGACGTTTGGACTCCCCGAGGTGAGAAGTAATGTCAACATCAAATCTAGCGTAACTCCCCATATTCCCCAAATTCTCCAAGTTCTTGCCAAAAACCCGTAAACCACTAGAAATTTCCTGCCAAAAACATATGATGCGATGAATCATGAATAACTTCCCTCTAAGTTGGCAAGGAACCACTCGGCCAACAGGATCAGTCTTTGCCCGAGTCGTACAACTCGGCCAGTAGTCACACGAGCAACACGTCGTCCAACCAGTCCATCCAGTGTCCGAGTTGAGTTGCTCGGCCAACATGATCAGTCTTTGCCCAAGTCGTACAACTCGGCCAATAGTCGCACGAGCAATGCCTCATCCTACCAGCCCATCCAGTGCCCGAGTTGAGTTGCTCGGCTAGTCGGATCAGTCTTTGCCCAAGTCATACAACTCGGCCAGTAGTTGCACGAGCAACGCCTCGTCCAACCAGTCCATCCAGTGCCCGAGTTGAGTTGCTCGGCTAATAGGATCAGTCTTTGCCCGAGTCGAATGACTCGGCCAGCAGTCGCATGAACAACAACTCGTCCAACCAGTCCATCTAGTGCCCGAGTCACATGACTCAGCCAGTTGATACTCGACCGCCGCTTCAACGACCCAATCGTGCCCTTAGCTCCTCATAAGGACCCTGGGGCACGACTTTTTTTTTGGGGGGGGGGTGGGGTTGGGTTGGGAGAGAAGTGATAAGGCATATTATGGATTCCACCACGAGGACATGACCCCCGGCACGTCAGCCCAAGTGCGGAGCCTTGGGAGGCAGACGCAGCGTCACATCATATGTGCCACCAGAAATCCAAGATAATGGTTGTTTGGGGCTGCACCAACCAGCATTGCTGCAACAAGGACCACTCCGGGAAGCTCCTTATATCCCGGGCGATGAACGTCTGAAGGTACACTCTCCGCTCGGAGAGTCGATCGTCGTGCGAAGGTCGTGTACGACCGACCCCTAAGCACTATGATAAAAACCCATTGCCAACATCTGATAAGGGGCATTTGTTAGTGGATCTGCAATGTTATCTTTGGATTGGGTCATAAATATGCTCAAGGAACTCAACATCAACTCTACCTTTTCTCCTATAATATATTATGATAATATTAAAGCTATCTACCTATATGCCAATCTAGTGTTTCACTCATGCATGAAACACATTATCATCGACTTCCATTTCGTGCGAAATCAAGTTGTCATACATCAACTGTGTGTTTCTCACGTGCATACGACTGATCAATTAGCAAACTCACTAACGAAGTATCTCGTCCATAAACGATTTTTATTGCATCGGTTCAAGATCAGCATCCTTGACAGAAGTTCAATCTTATGGGGGCATGATAACAATTAAAATTTCTTTAATTACACAAGAAAATATGATAATTAAAGGAAATCTTCTATTCCCTCGTATATAAATAAGACATACATTGTATTCACCCATTTAATGTGTGCTTTTATCATTACAATTCAAACTTAATAAGCTGGTGTCGAACGACCGACGCATGGCTTGGTCAACGTTTGGCCTTTGTTAGTGGATCTATAATGTTATCTTTGGATTTGGTCATAAATATGCTCAAGGAATTCAACGTCAACTCTACCTTTTCTCCTATAATATATTATAATAATATTAAAGCTACCTACCTATATGTCAATCTAGTGTTTCACTATGCATGAAACACATTGTCATCGATTTTTACTTTGTGTGAAATCAAGTTGTCATACATCAACTATGTGTTTCTCACATGTATACAACTGATCAACTAGCAAATTCACTAACGAAGTCTCTCGTCCGTAAACGATTTTTATTGCATCAGTTCAAGATCGACATCCTTGACAGAAGTTCAATCTTACGGGAGGCATGATAGTAATTAAAATTTCTTTAATTACACAAGAAAATATGACAATTAAAGAAAATATTCTATTCCATCGTATATAAATAAGACATTACATTGTATTCACCCATTTAATGTGTGCTTTTATCATTACAATTCAAACTTATCAGCTGGCGTCGAACGACCGGCGCACGGCTTGGTCAACGTTTGGCCTTTCCCTCCCTCCGCCAATATCCAGCGGTGGAGCTCTCAAATAGCATGGCAGTTCTGGCGCCGAGGAAGGGCGAGGCGAGGACGCGATCGCAGCCATGGCTCCTCTTGCAGCACCCGGTAGTTGAAACCAAGGCAGCGAAGGCAGTCTGGGAGGGAGTTTGGGAGTTGGTGAGCGGCAGCTGCGGCCACTGCAAGCACGTCCCTGTGACCTGAACTCCCATCTCCTCTTCCGGCAACCCCCAGCCTCCAACCAATCAAGGATCAGTCAACTCAGAGGTCCGAAAAGCCTGACAAACTGTATGGTAAAATGACAGGCATAACCTCACGGAAAAATACGGTGGACTTGGGCAGATAATTAAAAAAAAGGATAATATAGGAAACTCACAACCGAAAGAATTATTTATATTAATCACTTACATTATCTCAATATCTTAAATTCTATATACCTCAGCATCTCTCGATTTCATGTTAATCTCTCTTAATTTCTCTCTCTTAACTGCATAATATATTATATTAATCCTTATTTTTAGAGAGGTCAAACAAAGTGTTCGACTTTAAGTTAAACAAGTTTTTTTATCTCTACTAAAAAACTTAATCCAATCCCTTACATAATTATAGTTTAATTTAATATTTCAATATGGACAGTCTAATATATTTTTTCTTAATGTTCTAAAAATTATTTCATTAGTAAAATATCCATGTCTCCTCGTTAAGGTCAAAGTCAAGGTCAAAGGGGGTAAATCTACGAGTTTACCCCTCCGTTCCCATTAGCCGATCATGGATTGGCTTCTTCCTCGCCCTCGGACGCTCCAAGAGAAGGCGAAGACATGAACTGCCGGAGCCTGGAGGAGTTCTGGCCCGTCTACGTGAGCCAGCACTCGAAGCCCACCACGCGGCGCTGGCACTTCGCCGGCACCCTCTCCGCCCTCCTCTCCCTCCTCCTCGCCCTCGTCCTCGCCCGCTGGCCCTTCCTCCTCCTCGCCCCCATCCTCGGCTACGGCCCCGCCTGGTGCAGCCACTTCTTCGTCGAGGGCAATTCCCCCGCCACCTTCCGCCACCCGCTCTGGTCCCTCCTCTGCGACCTCAAGATGTTCGCCCTCATGCTCACTGGCCAGATGAATCGGGAGATCAAGCGCCTCGGCAAGAGACCCGTGCTCCACGCCTTCTGATCTTCTTCTGCGTCGATTGGTCGATCGGATCCTCCATCCGACCCACCTGCCCTCGTCGTTGGTAAATTATCCATCAAACCCTAGCTCAATTTGTCGCCGGCACCGTCTTATTAATTTCCCTTGTATGATTGGCATACACCTACCTGATGATGTTGATGAACGAATTATAGTCTATCTAAAGTCTGAATCTTACTATTAGTATTCTCTTGTTCCTGCCACTGCTGCTGCTATGGGATTGTCTGCTTGCAATTACTTCGACATTGGTGTTGGATTAAGGTCATTGTGGCTGTCTTAGAGGATCAAGATGACTCAACTTGGAGATGATCGTTCTTCAAGCTTTTGATTAGCTTGATGTACTTGGTGATATGTTGTTTGAGGAGGCCATCTTCTAAAGCTATTATGCTCCTACTAGGAATATGATAGCAGTGTCGACAAGTAACGAGACATGGAGTTATCGGCATCCATGGCACAATTCTGTTCAATCTCTTGTGGGACTCCCTTTTTGCCTGGCCAGCAAGGCAAATCGATCTCAGTTCTTATAATTTAGTTCTCATTCTTTTCTGGTGTTGGTGTGGCATATACCAATAGTTCTTATGATTTAGTTCCGAATTGAAACTTGTGTTTTCAGAAACAACCTCTTTAAATATTTAAAGGTAAGGCGGTATACATTGACCCTCCTCAGACACCGCATTGGTGAGAGCCTCGTGCATCGGGTACGCCCTTGGGTATGCCCTTTTTTTATTGAAACTTGTGTTTTCAGCATAGTTATTAGTAACAATGTTATCGATCAAGGGTTGCTCCAATGATGAATGACATTTATAACACTATTTTGGTGGGACAGATGAGAAGCACCATTTGCGGTTTCGATAAGAAGAAAGTAACTTGTAATAACTTCATGAGTTTATCTTCCTTGTTTATGTTTGGCTGCATAGCATCAAGCTACAGGATATCGTTCTCAAATTTTCTTTTATTGAAGAGGATTCTTTTATCTATGTTTACTTCAGGAATCCTTGGGTGAAGAAGTTACCTGAAAAGTAGCTTCTTAGTATATGACAAATCGACAAACTTAGTACGTGATTAATGTATAGTTTGAAGTACATGTAAATATATATCATCAGAAGTGATTCTCTTCGGCAGTAGACTTTTGCTAATTCTTGTAGGAGACTAGTAGCGTCTGACTCTTACCTTCATTGCTGCCTTAGTTTTGTATAAATGTGATGCGGGATTGTTTCTGAGTCATCCGGTATCAGTAGTTTTCTGCATTATTTATTCTGATACTTTATGCCCCAGTACAAATGTGATTTAAATTGCTTGTGCTGTATGGGTAAATGTCTTTAGTTTGTCCAAATTTCTTGATGTAATGTGCCAGCCAAATTGTGAAATACAAGACTCAGATGTTCTTTTGATTGGTGTTCTCTTGACAAAGTTAGTAATTCATGTACAGTTGCAATTGCCCGGTAAATGCAGTATTGAAAGCAATACTCATTTCATGAGACCTGCCTGCAAATAATCCTTGCCTGACTCTTAACTTGATTTCTGCCCTTGTTTTGTATAAATGTGTAGTGGTGTTGTTTCTGAGCCTTTCAGTATCAATCAGTCGTGTTCTGCATAATTTCTCCATATACATTCCCTAATAATAATATTGCTCTTGTTTGTCCAAGTTTCTCAACGTAATAATTTGTGAGTCAAAAATTGTGCCATAAATATCTTCCAGATGTTCTATTGATTCAACTGCTTCTTTGCATGGTTACTCATAATTAGGAGAAATCCTTTCATGGCACATGATGATGATGATGTATCATCTCGTTTGGATTTTGGTTTTGCTATCGATTTATCACTCTAGAATTTTGGAGGGTTTGTTTTACTTGTTTCCACGATGCGAAAGTTACCAGCAATCGGTATTCACTTTGATATTATTGTTTGATTGCTGGTATTCAACATAAAAATGTTTTAGTATGAGAAACATTACAGACTTAAATGCATAATAGCATACAAGCTTGAAAAGGGTGGCACTGCACACGACCCTTTTTTAGGATAACATTTGTTTACCACATAGCCAATCTGTTATATGCCCAACAAACCCTCATCTTTTGTATTATTGGCTTTGCATTACGCGAACGAGCGTGGCTTTAACTAAGGGTAAAAGAGGAAGAAGACGAAGAATAAGTAGCTGCAGCGGCGATGGGGGCGGGAGGACTGGCCTTTTAGGCTGGTGTCCCATTCCTCGCTGCGCCTTCTCCTTTTTCCACCCACCCCCCTTTCCCCTCTCTCGCTGTCCGAAGAAGAACGGAGGAGCGGCAGCTTATTTCTCTTCACCATGATCTCCGTCCAAGATCAACCGGTGGCAGGATCCTCTCCGGCGCTGCAACGATCGCTTCACGAGATCCTCGGCGGTGGAATCCGTAAGTCCCATTTTGCTCCTGGGATATTAGATTCTTCATCTTCGTCGATAGGTTCGGTTTTGACATCCCGATCATCGAACTTGTGTGTCGACGTTCTGCTTGTAGATGCTTTCTCTCGTAGAAATCCGACACTGATTTGGTTTATCTTGAATGGATCCGGCGTTACTGTACACTGTATGGGGCAATCGTACCTTCTTCGTTCTTCTGTGGGAATCGATCGGAACCCTAAGCGTAATTATAAGGTGTCTGATGCAGCACCCGTTTGTCGGTCTCCATTTAATATCAGTAATTGACCTTTTTGATCCTATTCCTGCTTATTGTACTTCGATTTGGATTTTGCGCGGATGCTCGATCAGAATTTAGGGGTGGAATTAGATTGGGCAGCTGCTGCCTGGTTGATAATCCATGTGTCATGATTAGTGGATTTACAGGAACTGTGTTTGACAGTTGCGGATGTGATCCTTTGGAGGAGAAGGAATGTAACGATAGCGGTACTGCTTGGTGCACTGGCTTCTTGGCTGGTTTTTGAAGTGGTGGGATATACGCTATTGTCTCTTGTTTCAAACGTTCTGCTGCTGCTGATTTCCATCCTCTTTCTGTGGGCAAAGGCTGCAGAAGTCCTTAACAGGTAAACTGCCATCTTTGGACTGTTTGCATCTTTATTCAACTAGCTCCATTATGTTCCTCCAACCTCTTAAAATTAGAAAAATATTATCTTGATAAAAAGCAGAATTAGCAATCTATCAATCTTTTTTTTTCCATGATCTAAATTCTGAGACAGAGATCTAACTATTATGTTCTGTTCTATAACCAATTCATCTAATATAGACTGGCATCGTAGAATGAGAATTTGTGAAACCATTAAATGACTGTCAGTGGCCGTCGTTTGTGGTCCTGCTAGAAGATTGGACCTTAGAAGGGCATAAATTTGATGAACAAATTGTTCCTCCACCAGGACATTCTTGGGGAAATTGAAAACAGTGTAGCAACTCGGCAAGGCATTTCAACTGGAGAACTAAAAAGTAAGGAAGAGGAAACCGATGATTTTAAAGTATTTTGGAGATAGATAGTGAAGCAAAGTGGGAATTTCAACCAATAACTTTGTGTGTGTAATAACCAATTTTGTCATTCTGATCCTAATTCCTGGTGATTCTTTATTATGTGCTGAAGAAGGAACTCAATCTCATTTATGATTTCCTTGTGGGAGGAGAAGATATAACTGCAGTAAAAATAACCAGAGACCAGTCCAATTTAAGGTATAGTTTTCTTCATTTTTCTCAGAGATACTTAATATGTGGGCTGAATTGAAAGACTAAATGCATTTATCTCTTAAGCTGCTTTGTGAAATACTCTTCTGTTAAATATTGTTTGTAAAGTTTTAGAAGTTTATCACTATTGTTACATAATTTATAGCTACCCTAATCTGTAATATTTAATGGAAAAAATGCTGATAAAGAAACAAGTGCAATGGCCTGTACAATTTTTTTTTTTCTTTTTCCTTACCCTCTATGTATGTCTGGGTGGAATACAGTGTATGTTCTCCTTTTAAAGTTTAGACAAGTTTGCTAATCGAATGTATTTTACCTGTCATCTTAGATACAAGTAATTTTAATATGAATATAGATTTGCTAGTTGCATTCCTCATCCATTCTTATTGTGTCACTTCTACAACAATCTCCAGCTATTTGCTGACTTGAACGCAGGCCTCCTCCGCCCATGCCAGAGATGCACCTCTCAGAAGAAATGATATATGAAGCTGCAGTTTTGTTCCGATTCCATGTGAACAAGGTCCTATCTGCTTTCAATGATATTGTACAGGGAAAGGACCCAAAACTTTTCTATACAGTAGCTCTGTGCCTATGGCTGATCTCCATGGTTGGTGGGTTGACTGATATGCTCACTTTGGGTTACACAAGTAAGTGCTCATGCTATTAGATTTATATACCATACCATATGAATGTTCTAAGAGAATTACCTATTCTAATCTTTGGTTGTTCACATTTCTGAATTTGAGCTGTGAAACAATATAGGAATGCCCGTCAGAAAGGGTTGTGTTTTGGGTGGTTTTAGGTTTAAATTCTAAACTTACACTGTTTGCTAAGAAGCTGCAATGTTGAAATAAGAGAGTTGATCTTAGTTTTCCGATGATCCATCAGATCATGAAACCATAAATTTCTAGAACTGGTGTTCACATTACTAAAATGTATGTATAGTGATGGCTATCTGGTTTGCATAATTCAGTATGACTCGTAAAAATATGTAGCCGATATGTGTGTTCGAGTATACAAATTTCACAAAAAAAAAATGATGGTGAATTTCTTCTGAGAAGATTATTAGCTTGATGGCTGGTATTAAGGTCACATTTCATTTCTCTATCAGGTATTGCAATCATCCTAACAGTCCCGGCACTGTATGAGAAGTATGAAGACGGCCTGGACCGATGTATGAAGTTGGCTCACATGCAAGTGAAGATGTACGAGGCAGTATACACCGAGTGTCTTAACAAATACTTTATAAAAGCTAAGAAGTGGATTTTGGAAAAGAAAAAATTAATTACTGATGTATGACTATGCCATGGAACATCTTTCGGTTTTCCTCCTTTTAGCATCATTATCAGAACAGAGTTTTTGGAGTAGTCTGTCTGTAGCATCAGAAACATTTGTGCAGTTCTTTCAATTTCTTGGCAATTCTTAGGAAGGATTTCAGTGGATTTGAGTGGATTTGAGTGGTCTGTATCATCCATCAGAAAGCATTTCGTTCCAACAAAGTTTTCTCTTCTATTTATTACAGGGATAAACAGAAATATAAAATTACAACAGTTGATTTCTTTGATGGAAATCATAGCATTTGTGGAAGTTGGCTGCAAAAGCTACAGTTTCCATCAAGTGGCAGAACATAAAAAGTTACGGCGAGTACCATAGGAACACCCACACGCACATATACAACAACATTAAGGAGGCTCTCTCGTCTTCCAATACTCACTTCTTACCACCCTCCAAGCGCTCTTCTCCGGCTGATACAATCTTTCCATGTTCATCCTCCTCCACGGGGCATTCTACAGGCGACACTGGACGCCGGGCGACCAGCGCAGCCCACACGAACATCGCCGAGAACGCCAGCGTTGCACCACAAGCAGCAGCAGACACCATTGCCATGAGAACACCCCAAGCATATGCCTTTCTTCGATGAACAGAAGGAGGGCTCTCGGTAGGCCTCACCAAGAACGAATTCGGATTCAGAGGCTCGGAGTGCATCAGATATGGAGCTCCCCGCTTCACTGTAAAGTTCCACGAGTATAGACTGCTGGTCTCAGTAGAATTTCCACTCCAAGAGCTTATGCCCACAAACACTGCCTCCTTCCACACTAAGCTGGACAAATTGATCGAGCAATAGATCGAACAGTTGGCGGTCGGCCTCGGATCCCCTGCCTGGCTCAGCCTCACCTCCATCCTCTTCGATTCCCCGTCGTAGTCGATCCAAGAACGCAACTTTTCACCGCTATTCAAAAGCAGACCGACATCAGAAAGATTGCTGCTTGTCATCAAAGCTTCTCCGCCGACATCGATTTCAATGAGGCTTCCACTTCGATTACCGGACGTCCCAAACCTCACTGCGACAAGGCTGGTCGACAGCCCAAACCCATCTCCCTCCACCGACTCCAAGAAGAAAGAGAGGAGGCTACCACCGTCGCCCGGGGAGATGGAGAAGGAGAAGAAGGAAGAAAACCCAAGCTTGGTCCCCAAGAATCTGATGGCTTTCCGGTGCGCGATCCGCCCCGAGCTCGAGTTCGCCGGCCGCGTGATCCTGACCGCCGAGCCACTCATCTGGGCGTCGCCGTAGAGGGTGAATTCCGAGTCAAAGCTCCGATTTTTCTCCGATCCGTCGAAAGAGAAGCAGAAGTCGTTGGCTTTATTACGTACTTCGCATCTTCCACCGGACAAGAATACACCGAAGAGAAGGACGACGACGACGACGGTGAAGGTGGAAGACGGCGGCGACATTGCCATCACAAAAATCCGGCAGCTTACCATGGCACGAGAACCCCAGTCCGGACCGGTCGTCCTCTATCGCGTTCTTGATGTCGGACTCGAGCTTTCGGCAGAGCAGCGCTGCAGAGGTGGATCTGCGAGCGGAATAGGGTTAGGGTTTGGGCTTCGCAGGAAGGGGAGAAGCGGAAGAATGGGAGCATTAATGGCGTGCGAGACCGGACGGAGCCCAAGAAGAATCACACTGACACGCTCTCTCTCTCCTGCAGCAAAGACTCCCTCCTCAGTCGTCCTCACCCACTTCGGAGGTAGAAAAATAAGAGAGGAGGGAGGCATTTAAGGAGGCGACGACGATGATTGAACGCTGTCCGTCCGATTCTTCAGTCGCAGAGATGGACGGACGGATGTAAAATCTCGTTAAGTAATTCCTTTTCCCTCGTGGGTCCCACAACCGAGCCCTGTGCGGCCTCACGCCAATAAATGCACGTACGGGCGGGTGGGTCCGCGGGTAATCCGTGAAGGGGTCCCAGAAGCGTTTGCTCTCCCCTTTTCCCTCCCCCCTCTTTCAATTATTATAAATTCACGTAGTAAAATATTACTGAAAACTCAATTTTCATTTTTTTTTATCAGTGAGAGTTTCTTGTTCAAAAATTATTCTAAAGCTCCTAATTTCTGCTAAATTTTAATTTTATCCTTGAATGAAAGTGACCGTATTTAAAATATGTCATTTAGAAAAATTGATGTGTTCCATACTGAAAAATGAACATTTTATGATTTATATTCAGTAAATCAACCTTGCATCTTCCATGATGTGAAGCTATTGGATCTTGTATTTACTTTTGTGATGTCAAACATTTAATATTAATCAACCTTCGTTTTATTTTTAATTGGCATTCTAATTAATATTAGGACTTCTTAAAAACTCCAAAGTAATTTAGATTTTCATATTTCATTTTTTATATTTTAATATACTACTATTCATGATAATTGAAAAGTATAATAAACTAATCTACTCCTACTACAACTACTAATATAACAATAACAAGCTATATTCGCCCAATTACTTTGGATTGGCCAATGAGACTTAGGTACAAAATAAATGTATCAAATGGCATAACTCCTTTATGAATTTTGTTATTGTCTGAATGTCATTGATTAGAAGTTGACATGACTCGATCTTCATCTAAAGGCATGAGATCGTCTAAAGACCCCTTGTGACAATCTTGTAAAACGATTATTGTAGTGTCAAGGTGGTCTTTGAAGGGCCTATATGTATCTAAAATAGTCTCGAGGTTGAGGCAAGATAAGTTATGGTCTTCTTGATGGATCCTTCACAAAGGTTACCATCAAGGGTAGTTTCTCAACCCAACCCTTTCGATGTTCAAGTTAGCTTCTTCTAGTTGTATAAAAGTGTAAAGGATTTTTTTGAAAAAAAGGTTCGATCCTTGGATAGGCACTGAGGGTCGACTTTTATACTTTGACAACCGATAAGACAATCTATAACCATCATAACACCCTCTTCTTGATGTTCTATCTACATGGACGATAAAGTCTGATATCCACGAAGGTCAATCGAGGGAGAGCAAATCCGAGCGATCGTATGGATTAATGTTTCCAAATCAATTTTAATTATGAACACTTATGCCACCAAAATAATTGTATGGATTAATTTCTAAATTGTGCGTAACATCTCTATTGATTCATCGTGTCGGTGCCATATGAAATGTTATACATAGAGATGCCCTATGAAATATGCGATGGACACGTGGCTAGTTCCACAAAGAGGATCTTCCTCGCCCCTCGCTCCTTATAAAGGGACTTCGTCATCTCTTCTCCTCAGGGACATCGGAGCCCAGAAAGAGCCATGGCGGAGGTGGCAAAGGTCGAGTTCGAGGCCGCTGACTGTCGGCAGATTTCCTGCCGGCTCAGCCGTTCCCTTCCAGGTCGATCTCTTAGAACCCCTAACCCTCTTTTCACCCCGTTTCGATCTTTACTGGCGACTTCTTTCTTCTGCGATGTTGGCGCAGATCAAAACCATGACCCTTTTTCCACGTCGTTCTCTTCTTGATAGTTGTCACGATTTCCATTCCCCTTTTCATGATCGGTGTTGTTTCTTTGATGGCGTAGATCAAGATCAACGATCTCGACACCGTCACCGACCACCGTCCATCCCCAAACCTTAACCCTCTTTCACCTTTCACCCTGATCTATCTCTACCAGTGATCTCTTCCTTTTTTTCCCTTCCCTTTGATCTTGCGGTGCTAGCGCAGATCAAAACCCTAACCCCATTACACGTCGTTCTCCTCTCGTCGGTTCTCCTGATTTCCGTTGTTGCTTTGATGGCGTGGATCAAGATTGCGTAGTGGAAACCGGTGATCAACCAAGGTGAACTCCTCCGATCCGCGTAAATCTATTTCCTAGGGTTTGAGATCCTGCTAAAGATTGCCCGTGGATTTTTAATCTTTTCTAGTTTCTTGATCTTAATCTTTGACGGTAGCCTTTCTTTCTAATGACAACTCTGGAATGCATAAAGATCATACATTTGTTCTCACTCTTCTTTCATTACGAGAACAAGAGCAAATGTTGTGCTGATTTCCAACACAGAGTGTGTTTTTAGTGCAAAAGCGAGAAAAGAGACAATGAACAAATGTTGTGCTGATTTAAAAATGCTCACCATGTTGAGCATTTTTAAAAACAACACACTGCCTTGCTGTGAAAATGTAAAAGGGCACTCGTAAGGCTAATGAGGAAGTGCAAGTATATGCACAATAATATATCAAACTAAAACCTAAATATTTGTAAATTTGATCCTGAGCTTGGCTTAGCAAACTGAGGATTATGTTGATCAATGGAAGTAACGGCATGGTTTACCAACTTAATGCACCAACATGTCAGGAAATTTCTCAGTCAATCACAGCAATGTTTAGTCATTCTCATCCTTTGCCCAATGAAATCAGTTCATAAGATAATTTAATCAAACATATAACATATGCAACATAAGAAACAAAACAAGAAAAAAACATGGACACAATTCCAGCCAGATATTTAATAACAAAATATGTAAATCACTTTAATATGGTGACGAGAACACGAAGGATGTTGTGGTACAGAACTAGCACAAAATTATAAGACCAACATTGCCCTATGAGAGAATTTAACATCTCATAGATGAGATGAGATGAGTCATGGTCGTCAACTATTCAAGCCTACTCCAAGAAGTAAATGGCACACCACTGATTAGTAAAGAAAAAATTATTGTTAGTTGCAATTCATAAACACTCCATCATCAAAATCCGAGAATCAAAAGTTTTACAATAGTATAATTTTTTTTTTTCATCATCAAGCTAGTAAGATTTTTCTCCCTCTTTGTTATTGTCAAAGAGAAGAGAATAATACAATAGTATATATTTTTTTTTTCATACTCATAATATAAGATTTACAACCATAAATACAAATGAATTATATATAATGAAAATCATATCATGAAAGATAATATCAAAGATCATGTGAATACCAAAAGACATTATTCATTTTGATAAATCTCATCTTAAATAATCCAAAAGAAATCTTAGGATATCAAATAGCAAAAGATCTTCAAAAGAAACATTAAGTCATGAATTCGGAGAAATCAAGATCAAGATATAGGTAAAACTCATTTAAATCATCAAATCATCAAAATAACTTTCAGAAGATTCAAAATAACATAAATAGATTTATTAATTTCTTATTAAAAACTCACTAAGATTTTAGGGATAGAGACATTTTCAAGAATAATGCATTCCCCTTTTTAATGTGTATCAATTTATGTGATTTATTTCATATAAGCACGTTTTTGTCTTTTATACCAAACAAAAACATGCATTATCGTTTAAAATCAAAAAATAAAAAATCATCACAAAAATCATTACAAATACAAGCATACCCTAGTATAACAAATTAAACAATGAAGTATCTTCAATCAAAGGATTAGTTACCAATAATTCTAATTCTAATACTCTTTCCTTTATTGTTTCGACTAGTGAGCTTTGTGAAGTGTATTGGATCTTCGGTCATAAGCCTTGAGCATCAACTATCAAAATTTTATTTTTGCTCATAGCATTCGATTATAAAGATGTCTACAAGAAAGGTGAGTTTCTTTTACGTACTTATTTGACTTTGGGTCCCTCGTGGTTGGATTTATCTATCTTGATTTTTGGCATAAGGTCATTTATGGTTCATTTAGGGATTCAAACTAATTTATGTGGATTATACTTTTTGAATGGACATTTATATGTAAAATGATTATGTCTATCACAAAAACTATACTTAACCTTAGGGATAATATGTAATGTGGGTCCTTTAATAAATGTAGTTGGCTTTTGTTAAGTGTAATTACTCACAAGGTCGATTCCTTTTTTTCTACACTATTATTGGTAAGAATGATGTTTAAAGATTTTCTAACAATTTTAAAATTTTCTAACGTTTATTGTAATACTATATTTTTTTTATTAAATGAATCTAATTCTTCACACTTAATACAAGAGGTTAACAAGCATTTATCATACTCATTTTTTAAAATTTCAAATTCATTGGAAAGAAAATATGGTTATTTTTTAATAATTTATATTTTTTACTAACTAAATTATATTCATCAAACAAATCATGAAAAGCATTAAGCAATTCATCATAAGGTAAATAAGATTTGTTTGAGCCACTTATCTCATCGTTGAGAGCCATTAAGGCATAGTTCGCATCTCACTTTTGTTAGTTTGATCCTCCTCTTTGGATATACTCAATTCGTCCCATGTCGCCTTGAATGCTTTCTTCTTCTTTGGCAACTTTTTCGATTGATAGCTAGTTGTTCTGTCATTTTTAAGTTCGTTTATAATTAATCTTTTTCATGAATTTTTTAATTTTTTTGTCAAAAGTTCTATGTTATCATCACTTGAGCTTTCGCTCGAGTGGTCTTCTATTGTTCGAAGTACTAAATCCTTCTTATTCTTTAGAAGGTAGTTCTCATATTCATCATATTCAATACAAGTCATTTCATAGGTCATTAAAGACCCGATAAGTTCTTCAAGTGAAAAATTGTTTAGGTCATTTGCTTCTTGTATTATTGTTACTTTTGGATCTCAACTTTTTGGAAGAGATTTTAGAATCTTGTTTATAAGTTCAAGATTAGAAAAATATTTACCAAGAGCTTTTAAACTATTGATGATATATGTAAAACAGGTATACATATTAACAATAGTTTCACTTGGTTTCATTTGAAATAATTTAAAACTATAGATAAAAAAATTGACTTTAGACTCTTTAACTCTACTTGTGCCTTCACGTA